TGCAGGGAGAGCTGGAGGTGCTCCGGGATGGAACTAGGACTGGAAGACTTCCCTGGTCCTGGAGCCGGGAAGGACTAAGCCTCGGGCAGCCTCGCTGGGGCCTCCTCTGGGAAATCAGAACTAGATGGTGCTGACCCGCCCAAGAGGGCTGCCCACAGTTAGGCTGGGGCAGGGGCTCTGGCAGCCTTCACACCCGAATGCCATTTCCCAGGCGGGAGCCTTAGACCCCAGCACGCAGCTGGGCATTTGATGAATTGCACTATCTGCGGGATAATGACTGGACCCTGGACTGATCATCAAGGAGCCCTGATGGTGCAGAGGTTAAAGTGCTTGGCTGCTCACCGATAGGCGACCGTTTGACCCCACCCATTGTTTTTCGGGAGCAAGATCTACAGCCCTGGAAACCCGCAGGGACACTTCTGCCCGTCCTCCAGGGCGGCTATGAGCCGGACTTCCCTTGGCAGCAGCGGTGCTCAGTGGATGGATTGAGGCCCTCGTGCGGGGCTCGCCCTGGTGTGTTTTTGGGGACTCTGTCCCCCACAGGAGCTGTCAGCACAAACGACAGCCTCAAGGCAAGAAGAGGGACAGTCGTCTGGCAAGTTGTGTGTCCGCTCCCTCCTGTGTGGATCCAAACACAGCCCGTGTATTGACTTTATACTGCTCGACAGACACTGGAGGCCTCTGGGGGCCAGGAGGGGACTGAGCCCGGGGGAGGGAGTGGCAGGGGGAGGGCGGAGGGGAGAGAGCCAGGGACCAAAGGGAGGAACCAAGCCGGGTCTTAGGGCACTGTCCTGGCGGGCAGTGTGTGGGCAGCACAGCACCTGCAATCTGGTGATTGCTCCGTGGTAAGGTTCTCGCCTTCCAGGATGGAGATCTGGGTTCGAGTCCCAGCCCATGCAGCTCACATGCAGTCACCCCCCCCCCCACCCATCCGCGGAGGCTTGTGGCTACTCAGAGGCTGAGCAGGCTTCAGGGGAGCGTCTGGGTTAAGACAGACTCAGAAGAAAGGCCTGGAGATCTACTTCTGAAATTCGGCCAGCGGAAAAGCCATGGCCAGCAGTAGTCCAGTCCACAGCTGGTCATGGGGACGGCTGGCCCAAGACTGGACCGGTGAGGTCACCATAAGTCAGCCGCCAACAGCAATGACAGCATTGAGAAGCCCCAGGCCGGGGTCCAGCATAACTCACACCCCAAACTTACTTCACCAAGACACCTCATCCCTTTGGACACTGTTCCAAGGTCATCTGGGCTGTGAGCAAAACACAGGGAGGTCGGCGATGCCGGTGGGGGACACTCTCACACAGGTCACTCTCCGGTGGGGCTCCTGGCTCCACAGCTTGGGTTGAGCCAAGAGAGCAGACCACCTGTTCCTTCTGGAACCTTCCTTTGAGAGGAGCACGGCATGATCTTGGTTGTCCAGATGGGGAAACTGAGGCTCTGGACTCTCAGACCCCGGTGATTAGAAGAACCGACACCATCGGTGTCTCCAGGGCAGCTGCTCAGCTGGTCTGCTCCTCAGATGCAGTCCAAGCCTTTGTCTGTCTCCTGGTGGGTCCAGAATCATCCTGGAGCTGGCCAATCTCCGTGGGGGGGAAAGAGTGATTTAAAGCAGAACCAAGGCTTGTCAACAGCTGTGGGGTTTCTCACTGGGCACAGGCGCTGACAACCTCTGGTGGGTGCCCCGGCTTTGATCAGGGGGGCGCAGTGGGTGGGGGGGTTCCCGCCTGTGCAGGCACTGTGTCCTGGGAGGTGCAAGCTCTTCTCCCCATTGTGTGGGTGAAAAAAGGGAGGCTTGGGAAAAGGGTTTGTGTTAGACAGGGTTCTCTAGAGAGATAAAACCAAATTGCTGGTAATTTAATATATTTATTTATAAAGATACTTAGATGTATAACAAGAAATGAACTGTTAAATCATATACAGATAAATATATAATACAAGAAATGAACAGTTGAATTATAAAGCAGTACAAATGGCTCAGTGTAACCCACTCCCGTGAGAGAGAGTTGTGAGACACTAGCAGTCCTTCAATTCTAGTCTGCTGCCAGGTCTTCCTTTATATAGAGAGAGAGCTAGGCTATGTCAGCACAGCAGCCAATCACAAGGCAGGTCACCAACTGTCAGCCAGGTCACCAACTGCCAGTCCCCAGCTCCAGGGATGTCTTAAAGGGACCTCAACTTACAGCGACACAGTTCACAGGCTAGGCGTCCCACAGGTAGTGTAGCCTTTAAATTGAGGCACAGGACAAGCAAGGCAGCCGCACACTGGTCCGATGATCAAAGAGCGAGAGGCATTTATCTCCGCCCTTCAGTGAATCCCACTTGTGTTTATCGGCCAGGCTGGCACAATAAACTATCTCAGGGTTTGACCCTAAGACGGCAAGACCCAAGCCCTCTCCTCTATTCTGTGGGCTGGTGGGAAACGTCCTGTTCTTTCTGGGAGTTGCAGGGAGGTGACTTAGGACACACACACACACCCTCCACGGCCTGGAGCAGGGAAAACCCTGCACGGGGTCACTCCAGCGCATGGCAACCTCACGTGTGCAAGAGTAGTTTCCAAATGCTGATGTTTAGGAAGCTGGTCACCAGGCCTTTCTTCTGAGGTGCTTTCTAGGGGCCTCAACCATCCAAGGAGGACTGCCTTAACCGGGGAGAGCGGGCTGCTCGGCCCACAAACCTCCAGGTGACTCGGCTTCTCCTCTACCTTCCTCGAGCCCAGCTTGAGCCCTGCCTGGCCTGGGGGGTGGGAAGGGGAAGACAGGTGACCAGGAGCCCTTAGAGAAAGACAAGGCCTATAAGGCACAGCCCCAGAGGCCCCAGGCCTCCACACCTCACCCTCCAGCCCCACGACAAGCCCAGTGGCTCAGCTCGCTGGTCTGCCGAGTGAGGACAGACTGCTCAGGGCAGCAGCCAGGGCAGACCAGTAGGACAAGGCTCCGTGGTCGGGGGCATGCCGGGGAGTGTGGTCTCCTCCCGCTGTGGACTCTGGGGCAGGGCTGACTCCCCTGGGCACGACCCTGCTCGGAGTCCCGCCACCCAGGCGAGGCATCTCCCCCTCGCCCAGCAAGGGGAAAGAGCTGACTTCGTTAGGCGCTGAACTTGTGTCTTGTTGCCCTTGGGCTTTGCTGTATCTCAGGTATTCGTCCAGCCCACGCGATTTTACAGCTGTGGCGAGGTCTGCACTGGCTCCGTTGAGAGGGGTTCTCGGGCATGGGCAGGCCCAGGCACACCCGCAGAGGGCCTCTGGAGAGGGCCTGGACACTTGGGGTGAGGGTGGAGGTGGGAAGGGCATTGAACAGAGGTGTGTGGGGGCTAACTTGAAGTAGGGGACCGGGCTGGGGACCCAGTGGAGGCCTGGCTGGGACTTGAGCACCAAGAGCCCACAGGACTGAGGCCTGCCCGCTGCCCACCCCCCTCCCACCCGCCCCCAGGGCCTGTTCTGGCTGCATGGCCCTGGGCAAGCTCCTCCTGCCTGTAGGCCTCAGTTTACCTTCTGTGATAGCACTTACCTTTCAGGCTCAGTGTCTAAAGACTGAGTGTGGGAATAAGGGGAGCCCTTGAGACCCCAAATGGCCGAGACCTGTGTGTGTCGTGGCAGCCAGATGGTAGGGGTGGTGAGGGCTCAGGGCGGGCCTGGGGGCGGTGGGGGAAGCCGAGAGGGGAGGATGTGGGTGTGTGGGCTGGACTCAGGACTGGCCAGAGCTGGGGGGAAAGCAGCTGGCAGCTTCAAATGGTGCGGTGGCACCGGGCCTATGGCTGGAGCAAGGCCCTTACCTCCGGGTGGCCCTCTAGACTAGAGCCCCATTTCCCCTCTCCTGGGACCCCACCTGCCCCAGGACGTCACCAGACACCCAGACCTCCAGCCAAGCCGAGGCTGCTGGCTGGAAGCCCTCGGGAACCACGGTTCAGAATTGTCCCCAGGTCCTGAGAGCCAGGCCTTGGCCGTGAACCTGTTCTGAGTAGCCGCTCACCTGCCGGGGTCTTGGAAGGTTGGCTGCCTCTGCCAGTAGCAACTGGACATCAAGCCGGGGGCCCGGCCGTTTACCACCTGCCCTGGCATCCAGAGTCTGGGCCTGTCTCCAGGTGCAATGGCTCCCCGCCATGACCACTGCCGCCATGGAGGAGGCAGGGAAGGGCATTGCCAGCAGAGGGAACAGCCCCAGCAAATGTCAGAAAGAAGTCAGAGAGCATGCAAAAACGACGTCCGAGTGGCTGGATGGCAGAGGCCTGGCCTTAGCCATGAAGCTGGGCCAATGCGGCCACAGCCTGTGACCGGTGAGATGTAGGCCTAAGCTGCCCTCTGCTCGCTGGCCCCTGGGCGTCCCCCTCCAGGCCTTCGCCTGGGTTCTTTCTTCAGCTGAAATGTGAACCTACCCCCGCTCACCACATGCCGTGACAGCTAGATTCTGCCCCCATCCCCCACCGGGTCCTGCCTCAAGGCAGCCTGGGGTGTCTGCTGGGGTCCAGAGTGAGGTGTGTACAGGGTGCGGGCTCAGCCAGGCTCTGTGAAATGAGCCAGGGGGTGGGCGAATGGAGCTCCAGACTGACGGTGCAGGGGTAGTGCCTGCCACGGCCCCATCTTCCTCTCTGTCTCTGCTCTGCTTCCCTCTCTGCTGGCTCTTTCTCTAGCTGAGTGCTGGCCCCTCCGCTCCGGAAATGGTCCCAGGGGGGAGACAAACGTCTTCTTTCCCTAAGGATCCACAATGGAGGTCCTGGGTCAGCACCTGGTCGGCCCCGGGAATGTGGTCCTGTGGCTGCCTTATCTATATTCGTGGGTTCAGATGGGAGGTGGCCTTTAGAGACGAATAAAGATCTGTTGTCAGCAGAGGGGATTCTGGGTAGCACACAGATGTCCCCACCCAACCCCAGTACACGTGACACGCCACACGGACAGACCCCCCCCATCCCCACCCCCACTCAGACCAAGCTTTGTTTTCTTGTCAGTGCATCTACTCGAAGCAAATGCTAGTCCATGTGTAACCCTTGCTTTCTTTCTATTCCAGGGGCCGCTGGGTCTGGATGGCAAGCCGGTAAGTGATGCAGGTGGTTCCGGGTGGTTCCGGGATGGGGCAGCTGCTGCGGGTTGGGAGTGCTCAAGCGGTGCCAGCAGTCGGGCCCCAGCCACACACAGAAATATGTAGGGAGTAAGTAAATAACAATGTGCATCGATGGACAGACCAATGGATAGGTGGTGGTAGTGGTGGTGGTGTTGCGAGGGGCCACTGAGTTGGTTTTGACTCACAGTGACTCTCTGTACAACACAACCAAGCTTCCAGACTAAGCAGAGACTAGGAAGAAGGTATGGGAAGTCCACTTCTGAGGGATTCCCAAACCAAACCCAAACTCACCGTCAACTCCAGAGCAACCCCACAGGACAAGGTAGAACTGCCCCTGTGAGTTCCTGAAACAGTACCTCTTTATGGGAATAGAAAGCCTTGCCTTTCTCCCTTGGAGAAGCTGGTGGTTTCAAACTGCTGACATTGTGGTTAGCAGCCCAACATGGGACCACTACTGCATTAACCATGAACACCTTATGAATAGCAGTGGAGCACAGGTGGGCTAATGCATGGAAATGTAGATGCATGGGAACACAAATGGATG